TTGGAGGAAAAAATCCTGGTGCGCTCCAATGAGGTAACCAAGCAAAGCTGGGGCACTCTGCAGGGGCACAGTGTGGGTTGACAGGCTTCTCTGAAGCAGTCAGCAGTGCAGGGTGAATCACAGAATAGAATCGAATCATGGAATCAACCACGTTGGAAAAGACCTCCAACACCATCAAGCCCATCCCTCCCGTGGTTACTAGACCATGGCACTAAGTGCTACATCCAGTCTCATCCTGAAATCCTCCAGGGACAGTGCATCCACCACCTCCCCGAGCAGCCCATTCCAATGCCTCATTACTCTCTCCGTAAAAAAATCTCTTCCTAATATCCAACCTAAACCTCCCCTGGAAAAGTTTGATTCTGTGCCCTCTTGTTCTACTGCTGGTTGCCTGGATAGATAAAATCATGGAATCATTTAGGTTGGAAAAGACCTCTAAGACTCAAACCATTAACTGCTGCCAAACCCACCATTAAACCATGACCCTAAGTGCCACAATGACTAGAGGGTTTGAGTTTAATCCTCTGTTTTGGCCTTGGAGGCTGTTCTCTAGTTTCAGGTGATGGAGTGCCTTAGAAAACATTTCATGGCAGGACAGAAACAGCAGCAAACTCAACCCATTTAGGCCCCTGTGCAAGCCCTTCCTTGCCCCTTCTGCACAAGGCAAATAGGGTTTTAGGCTGATACTTTAGGAAATGCTAATTTCAAGAGTTTTGTTAAGTGGGTGTTGGTACATCCACAGAGCGGTGACAGCTCATTTGAAATCATGAGACTTGATTAGTACATATGATGAAGTCACCTGGTTATTCTGACTATGAGATCTGAGTCAAAGAGGATTTCTGTATCTCTTCTGAGCTGCCCTTATCTTACCATGCCATCAAACTCGGAGAAAAACAGTTAAATTAAGTTAAAGCTGAGCAACAATGTAGAATTTGTGAATACTTAGGCTGCTTCGGATTGATTTTTGGGTCTCTAATTTTAGACTATGTACTCTTCCTCCATGTGAACCCATCACCACTCTGGTGGCTGACAGCTCAGTAGAATGGATGGTGATAATTACAGAGAAGTCCCCTAGGCACAGATGAAACAATGCAATTTCTCCTGTTTTTTTTCTAAAACTTGTAATGGGAATTGACTTACATCTTTAATAATTTAGTGTTTTCATCAGTAAATCTGACCAAGGGAGTAAATGTGCACAGTGGCAGGTTCCCATGCTTTATTCCCATGTCTAGAGCATCTCAGAGTAGAGGCAATGGGTCTAAACTGCTGTGGGACAGGTGGAGATTAACTATTAATCAAAGCTTTCCAGCAGAACGGATAGCAGAGCCCAGGAATAGGTTGCCTGGGAAAAAGATTGCCTGCTGCAGATGTTGCTGTTCGAGGTTGTTAAAAACAGCTTAGACAAAAACCCACCAGGTATGACACAGGTAATAGTATTCCCATCTTAATGCAAGGGTTAGTGAGTTCAGGAACTTCTGAAGATGTCTTCTAGTATCTGGGAGTTTAATAGGATTCTTCTCCAGGCACCATGAATTGCACCTAATAATGGGGCTAGGTGGAAATATGCCTTCTATCCTACAGGAAAATTTGCTGTGTGGTTTCTCCTCACAAATAAGATTACCTAGAGGCTCTGAAAGCTTGCTCAGGGAGTGGCAATTCCCATAGCTTCTTCCCTCACCCTGGTGGACTGTGTCTTTGGGTCACTCTGCCCCCAGAGCCACCAGCCACACCATGATTCCTAATGAAAACATGGTGATTTTTGGCACCAATTCCCCCATGCATACTTTTTTAAGCAGGGGGAAAGGCACTTTTTCGTAGGGAAAAACAAGCAAGTTCTGTGTGGGGGGGAAATGGGAATGGAGGTTCTTTACATCAAGAGTTTGTATTTATGTGGAGCTGGAGCACAGCTCTCTGGGCTCTGCTGCTCCCCTGGGCAGTCTGACTGCTCCTCATGAAAATGTGTGGAGAGGGGGCTTGAGGTCCCCTTTGCAAAGTCCACCTGTGGTGGCACTCCTTGAGTTCCTCTGCTTGATGAGTGTGCCTGGACCCAGACATATTCCATTATGCCACCACAGGAGACTCACTCAACTCTCTTCTGCTTCTTCAGTCTCCAGCCCCAGAGTCGCAAATTGATCCTGATGCCGAGGAGGAGGAGTTGAAGAGGAAACTGGAGGAGTTAGCCAGCAACATTAGTGACAAGGAAGTGTCTTCTGAAGAAGAGGAGCGTGAAGAAAAGAAGAGAGCAAAGAAACCAGAGATGAGTTCCTCCAGTGATGACATGGCCAGAGATGTTCAAAAGGTAATCTGTGTTCTCCCGTCCACACCATTCCAGGCTGCATCCATGATTCCTTCTGCTCTCAGCAGTTTATGGTTTACTCTATGATAATATGACTCTTCTGTCCCACACCTTCACTTTAATGCCTCCCAGACTTAGCTGCCTGCTTTAACAGAGTGTCCAGGGATAGAGAAGTCTCACGGTGCTGGATCTGGACCTTTTTCCCTGTAGGCTCTCCCAGTCTCATCCAAGACTTAAAAGTAATGTCTCTTAGAGGTATTGCAGGCTACTGCCTGTCAGAGAGGTACACAATCTCCACATCTACTTAGAAGTGTTGTCCCAGGACCTGGATGTCATGATGGAGAAAAATGCTGGGGTAGAAGAAGAGTTTGGTGGTTATTGTACTGGCAGCCTTCGTAAGGCACCTGTTACAGCCTGAAATGTCTTTTCCATACCTGTCAGTGCTCCTGAGTCCCAAAATCCCTGGTCTTGCTTCCATTCTGCCAGGTCAACATCTCCTTTACTTACAGCACTGTGCTGGCTCCTGGCCCCTACTCAGTGCTGTGTGATCCGTGGGGACATGGGTCAGGGAAAGAAGGAGGGATCACAACATCTGTGCAGTCTGTCTCTAGTTCTGCAGACCTTCCTGAGATGGTCCATTAGCACAAATGGGGTGGTCAGCATACCCTGTTGGGTCTCCTATGGCTGGTTTGTTCATCCTCTCCCTTCTGCCTTGGCCATGGATGGGGTATGAGTGTGTTTTCTCTGACATATCTGTGGCTGGTGAGAGTGGCAAAGGCAGCAAGCAGGGTCCACACTGCCCTTCTCCTCTCCTGCAAATCTCGTTTTGTCCAAGGTTGTGGAGATTTTCATTGTGCTGTGAGACCTCCTTTAACTGTGCATGTGTTCCTCAGCCTTTCAAGGCAAAACCTGGTGGGTTTGGATACTGTTTGATGTGCACTCATCACCACTGAGTCAGCAGTGTGCTGCATCCTTACCTACACATCCTTTACTGCCTCCTTTTTCCTGAAAGCTGCTTTGAGATGATTGCTACGGCCGGACATAACTACTTCTCATGGACTGAATGGTGTGCATCATCTTAATAACCATTTCCAGTTAGGTGCAGATAAGTGGTAGCGCACCAAGACAAGGTGACAATTCCTGTGTGAGATGCTGATGTGCAGCAGACAGAGGCTCAGACCCTGAACAGGGAGTTCTTCATGTGGTAGCAGTGCAGGATTCTTGATTCTCATAAAATGAAGCCTGGATCCTCCAAATGTGCTGCTTTTATTTCTCCAAACCTAGCTATGGAGCAGGAAGGAGTATTGAGTTAGAAATGCCTGCAGTGATATAGACAGATCAGTTGGTTAAAAGCTGTGACAGTGTGAATGTTTTTTAACTGCAACTTTCCTCATACTTATACCAGATCTAGGTTTGGATTTTTGCATAATTCTGAGGGGGTTTCTATTTAAGTCTCCTCTCCAGTCAGGAGGAAATCTTCTAACTGGGGAACACTGCAATGAAAGCAGACAGTCCTAATGGAAAATGTGAGAAAAATCCACTGTACCATGAATGCACCATAAAGTGATAAAAATACCATCTGAACTGAGTTAGCTGGTTCTCTGCAGGACAGCTTGCCTGGAAATATGTGCAGTTGTAAACACAACTATTTGTCACCAGCACATATGTCACCCCCATCTCCTTGGTTTCTAGGGAATTATCAGTTGAGAGAGAGATGATGAGTTTCTTCAGTCCATTTTCGCATGTGCTTAGTGCCTCATCAAGCCAAGGGCAGCACTTATGAGAGTTATTTCCGTCAGTGCCCCTTGGGGTGGGAAGAGAGGACATTAGTCCCAAGTTCTGGCAGTGTGGCAATACATTAATTTTATGGTGGTTAGCTGTTTTTATTCTTTTGCCACAAACTCAAGGAGTTATCTGCAGCCCTGCTCAGGCCCACTGAAGTGTAAAGCAATATGCTGCAATTAGATCTTAACTGCTGAGTAACCAAATGGCCTTCAGGTGGCCAGGTGCTGTCAGACAGCTCTGGTGGCACTGCTTCAAGTGAGCAACACATCCCTCCATAACCTCTTTTCCAAGCCTCTTGAGATGACTTCTTTCATCACAGCCATCCTCCAGAAAGCACGGGCTGAGATCAAAGCTCTGCTTTAGCCACGCATCCATCTCCAGTGGAGAGCCCTTCAGGAACACCGTAAGCCTGTTAATTACTGCGTCTCCATCTTTCTACAGTTCCTGAAGGTCTGATGTCCCTTTTTCCCTTGACTTGTGCTGTTTTGAACACCACATTAAAATAATATGTATTTTTTTCCCACCTTCTGCTTTGGCTGTGCCGGGTGTTTGAAGAGGTCATCGGCTCAGGCTTTGAGCAAAATCACGGCCAAAGTGCTGAGAGCCATAAACGCCACGGAGAAAGCGGTGTGGGAGTCATTGCATGGAGAGAGCCAGTGCAACGGCGGCTGTGCTCTTCCTGCGGGGCAGCTTCCCAGCCTGGGTGATGGCAAAAAGGTGGCTGAAGCATACCGTGAGCTTGAAGAAAATGTAAGGTTCATGAGAGCTTTCTGCAAGCAGGATGGGAACCAGGGGTTGGGAATACAGAGGAACTCCCCAAAATTTCTGGTTAGTGGAGAGGTCAGCCCTCAAAGGATGGTCAGCAGAGGGATTAAAGAGTCCAGTCTTGTCTGATGGTGGTACAACATCTAGAGCAGATGCTGTCTTGTGGCTTCCCTTGCCTCAGTTCCTGGTCCCCCCAGGTGAGGGACAGGCAGAGAGGACAAGTGCGGTCCCCAGCGTGCCGTAGCATCACTTTGTTGGACTTCAGCAGTCCTGTGTTCTGGCAAAACTTGTGTCCCACTTCTCTTCAGTTCCTTCCCAACACTACATTTCATTAAGGGCTGTATGAACAAGGGTACCATGACCTACCTGTTCGCTAAGGCTGCTTGTGCCTGGGGCTGATGGACTTGTGCAGGTGATGAGTTTACATCTAGGGTGTAATTCCCTGCCAGGTTTGTGTGATAATGTGAAGCATCGACAGCTTTTTTAGCTACTGTAAACCCATATGTATTGATTCCCTGTGGGAAATGGATTTGCATCCACAGTGCCATGTACCAAGCTCCAAAGAAACAGTTCAAAGAAGAGCTGCATCTCCATCTGTGTGGTTATGTTTTGCTGTCAGAAATGTCCTGCAGTGGGGAGCAGGGGTTTATAACAAATTGTGGCTCATCTTTCATCAGGGAAAGCTTATAAATAAAAGCAGGGAGCTGAAACACCTGGATGGTTTCTGGCCAAATACAGCATATCGGGGAAGAGTGTTGGATGCATGAAGGTTTTGAGGTTCTACCCTACCAGGAAATGGGGTAGGACTGGCAAGGATGTGAACTCTGGGCTTAGTGCTGCTGCCATCAGCAGGAGAGAGAGGGGTGGGTAGACAATTGCCCCAGGAGATGTGTCTCAGCTGGCTGGCTGAGTCACAGCTGGCTGGCTGCTCTGTTCTCCTCTCCAAGGCATGCCAGCCACCTTGGAGGGCACTGCAAGAGTCTGATGCCCCAAAAACAAATCATGCCCCTGTGACTCACAGGTTGAGTGGTGTGTAGCCTTAGGGTTTGCACTGGCATGGGTGGGACCTATGGGACAAGTGTTGCTGTGATTTGGACAGATGCTCAGCACTTCGGGGCATGCAGAAGGCTCCTGCCAGGTAGTTTTGCACACTATCCAGCCCAAGGACAGTGGAGAAGGCTGGAGGAGCAGGAATTGCATTAGCAGGACTGAGATTTTGGCATTAGTCAGCAAAACAGTGGCCACAACCCATCTGATCATCTTGTGTGATTGCATACCAGCATATTAAACTTTTCTGAACTGCCTTGCTTGGACTTGTGTCCTTGTAGTAGCCCAGGAGGAGGCAAGTGGCAGTAAAACCAGTGGTTTTATTGGGATATATCCTTCTACACTTCTTCTCTAGGCAACAAAGGGAGGACAGTGCAGGCTGACCCTGCTCCCAGGCAACCCAGCAGCACAGACACCCTTAAAATAGACTGAGTGGATTTGGAAAGTGTGTCTCCTTCCCAAGTCGCTGCCACACAGGCAGCCTGAGCTTGTTTGCAGGTACCTGCTCCCCCGTGGAGCGCACGGCATAAAGATGCTGCTGCTTCTCAAGCAGGTCACTGAGGTTTGGTCCTTCCTGTGTTCCCATTGAGCTTTTTACCACTTCAGGTTGGTAATTGCTCTCAAAAAGCCCAGGGAAGGGAGGAAATGAGATGAAAAACTGTGCCAGAGCTGACTGGCACTATCTGTGCTGCAAGGAGAGAAGACAGTTGAAAAAGAGTGGCAGGAGTTCTTGCATCTGGGGCTGTGGTCATACCAGGAGAGGATAACTCCAGGGAGGTTAATTCTGTAATGTAGGGGTTTTTATCCTGTATTTCAGGTGTACCTGACTGCTGGAAAGACCTACCGGCTTGAGAAGACCCTGAAGGATCTTGAGGAAGGGGCTCAGCACAGCGGCACTACCGACTCAGAGCTGTCGGAGCTGGAGGACAAAGTGGCCTCAGCAGCTGCTCAGGTGCAGCAGGCAGAGAGTGAGGTGAGGGTCTGGCTCCAAGAGATGCTTTGCCCAGCCAGTGATGACAAACAAAGCCAATGATAGATCCTCTGGCCACCAATCTGTATGTCTTTTCTTCTCCCTCTGAAGATATCGGACATTGAAACCCGAATTGCAGCTCTCTCTGCAGCTGGGCTGACAGTGAAGTCAGTGGAAAAGGTGAAGAAGTCAAGTGTACAGGTGAGCTTGCAGGATGATGGTTATGAGAGGTCCCAGTCCCAGGCTGTTGCTGCTGCCCCTGGGTTCTGTGAAGGGCTGCCTGGCTTGCTGAGCTATGCCCAGCTCTGTCCCTGCTGCCTGGTGTTCTGCTGCATGGCAGACCGAGTTGTCTGCCTCCTCTTGCATCCCCAGAGAAACCTCTGCCCTTCCTCTGCCCGCAGGCTGCCTGCCTCCACTCTCCTGGTTCTGCCAGCAGCAGTCTAGGGGAGTCTTTGGATGACATTAAAGTGAGTATGGGTTTAATCTATGCTGGCTAATGCATGTGGCATGGCATTAAGCATGGAGACAACCTGGGTCTCCAGGCAGCTGCTTTCAAAGTGCTGGCCTCAGTGGGGACCTCTGTCCTTCCATCCCTTTCCCCACAGCAGGCTACTCCCCATCTCTTGCAGACAATGCCCGGACTGCAGAGGTTCAGGAGGAAGTTCAACAGTCCCCTGGAAATCACTGGTAAGGACCATTACTCTGCCTGCAGGAGGTGGGGACCCATGGGTGGATGGACTGGGAGATGCTCAGTCCTCTCTCTCTGCATCCAGCTATGTGTCTGCAGTGGGGGGTCTCCTTCCCTGTGCTCATGGCCTCCTGGTTGGACAGTCACAGAGGAGACCTGTGGCAGATAACTTGTAAAGGAGACAGCAGTTGGCAGGATTAGGAACAGTGATTGGAGAGCAGAGGTCAGACTGAGTTGGATCAGTCTTCCAAGAACCAGGATTTTCTCTGAAGCCTGGAGTCTAGCCATCCCAGAGTCCAGGGAGACATCTGCATTACTTCATTTGTGGCATCCCATGGACTGTTGGATGTCAAGGCCTCACCTAAACCCATCATCTCTTCTGACAGCAATTTCTTCTCTGCTTGGCTATCTTGGGGAAGGTATCCTTACCTGGATGGTATGCCCCATCCCTGGATGTGTTCCAGGCCAGGTTGGATGGGACCTGGAACAACCTGGTCTAGTGGGAGGTGTTCCTGCCCATGGCAGGGGTGTAGAACAAGTTGATTCCTTTCAACCCAAGTCATTGTATGACTCTGAATCTTGACCCTGTTGCCCACCTGCTTAATCAACTGCCCTCTTGTGGGGGACAAGAGGCTCTCAACATCCCAGCTATGACAAGCAGCAGCTTGGGAGAGCTTCAAAGTAAACAGTGACCTGAAACTTGGCACAGAAGCTTCTGTGGTAGAGTTGCAGTCACTGGAAATGTTTCATCCTGACCAATATCAGAGAGATCTATTAGGAAATTTTTTTTATTTCCTTCTCTCTTATGTCACCTCACAAGCTTAAAGGCTGAAAGAATGGCTCTCCTTCCACATAATGGGAGATAAAGAGAGGGAAGCAAGGAAAGATGATTTAATGCAGAGGTGGAATAGTGTTTCCCCTATTCACACAGACAATTAATAGTGATGTTTCCCAGGCTGAGGCTAGAAAGATCCCTTGTTCTCATGCTGAGGAGGAGTCATTTGCTCTCCTTTCTGCAAAGGGCAGGCAGATCAAGGCAGCCTATGGGACACATCAGCCCTACAAGGAGATAGAGGGATGTGCAATCCGGACAGATGTCATCAGGCAAGCATAGTGTCTTCTGCCTAGACTGGGCGATGGGGCAATTTAGTCTCCTGACTGCCCTCCCTGCAGGTCAATGACTTGAAAAGTTGGGCCTGAAAAGGTGCAGCTGCTGGAAGTTTGTGGCAGAGGAGAGGAAATGACTTAGTAGGTCAAGAGTATAACAGTCTTGGGCAGTGAGAACTTCTTGTGGGCTGGGCTTTTCTTGTTTCATGGAGCTTTCCAGAGCAGAGGTCGTGGCAGTTGACCACTGGCAGGCTGACCCAGCTCCATGATGCTCTGGAAACCTGAGTAGCAGCAGTGTTTGTCTCCTTGTTATCAAAGGGCTTCCTATCACCCTCCTGGAGAGGAAAGTGCCGTGATACATCCAAACCCACAGCCAGTGGGGGATAGTAAAATCTGAGTGACTTGATGGGTAACTGAAACTCTAGTGAGATGGGTGACTACCTGCTGCCCATCTCTCTTTATTCACTACAGGTTTTGACGACTCCTTTGACCGCAACTCTGTTTACCGTGGCTCCCTGACACAGAGAAACCCCAATGGGAAGAACAGGAGAGTGGAGAGGCTCTTTGCGGTATGGACCCAACCACTCAAGAGGGCTGCTGGCCTGGGTTCCACATGGGACCTGCCTCCCAGCGCTTGCACAGAGGGACCTGTCCCTCCCCACACTCTCCCTGAGCCACTGGAGCCCTCACCTTTCAGCACTGGTCTCACTGTCCTGACTGGTGAAGGCAGACACTCATGGGCATCACCCTCTGTGGTCTGGGATGTCATAAGCCCCAGGATGGAGAGAACAAAAAAGATGTACATCTTGGAATTCCTACTGCCTGTGTGGTCCATGGGATGGGGCAGGTTCCATGTAGCGGCACCTGGAGAGGACAAGGAACAAAGTGGTCTCATCACCTGGGGTGGCTCAGGATGGCATGGGCATGATGATTAGCTGATGTTTCTTCCATTTGTGCCTTGCAGAAGCCTGTGATGACCCACCTGTCCTGAGGAGAGGGGGACCCTCCTGCCACCGCATTTCACTGACAATACAAGACCTCAGCGCAAAGCCTCACCGCCTTTCTCCTCCCCAACACTTTCTCCTCCTTCTCGTGTGCCTGTCTCTCCCTGAAACCCTGGACAGAAAGGAAGCCAGAGGCCATGGACAGGAGGTCTGGGAGCTGCCAGAGAGAGGAGCAAGGCACTGGGGTGCAGACACGTGGCCAGGGGCTCTCATGGGAGGATGTAGGCATGAGACCTTGGCTTTGGGCAGCATTATGGTACTAGGTCAACCAAGGAGATCAGAGAGGTGTAGAGCAGGAGGAATCTCCTCAGAGGAAGATGGATGTCAGTGTGGCATTCAGCATGGGGACTAGGGGCAGTGACACACCCCTCACCCTCAGAAAAAGCTGTCAGTGCCTGTCCCTGCTCTCTACCAGGCTGGTGGTGAGCAGGGTCAGGAGCTGACTGTGTGAAATGTCTTTGGGGTGTCCCAGGCAGAGCAGAGAGCCAGGCTATCCCAGTGCAGAGATTCCCATCCCAGTGCTGGTTCTGACTCCCTGCCATGTTGTTTCCCTTCCCTGAGCAGCAAAGCAGAGTTAGAGCAGTGCCAGCACCCTCCTAGCAACCATTTGGCCAATAGGTCTTTGTACCAAGCCATGCAGACACCCGCTGAAGCTTCTCGCCACTGTGCCTGAAGCAGGTGCAGCCATCTGGGGATGTGAGCGAGGTGAAATTTGTCAGAGGCAGTAGCAAAAAAAGGTGGAAGAGAGGCTGGAGGCCTTGTTGGGGATTGGTTTGCTTTTTCAGCTCTTGAAGATATCCCCTCTACATGTGAGGTTATATCAGCAAGATATAGAAAAACTCCTGCAAGAAGAGCATAGGTGTTTCTCTGCTCTGCAGAGGGGTCAGCCCATGCCAGGAGGCACTTTGTGGATGAGCGTGTCCCCTGTCCCTGATGATGCATTGTAGAACCTGGCAGGATAATCCAATCCTTTGGAAGGGCTGTGATGACCTTTGGGGGCTGCAGTGACTCTGGAGTCCTGCCAGGTGACATTGGTCACACCCTCCCCCACATACCCCAAGATGTTTGTTTTCCTCCAATATTTAATTCTCCACATCCACTAACTCCAGTGGATAAGTGCCTGGCTCCGTATCAATGCCCAGGGCATTGGCATGGGAGGAGAGTTGCTTTCTCTTTCAGGTCACTGTGGACAAGGTTTTTTTGTTTGGTACCTGCTAGTCCTGTCCTGTATAGCTCCCACCTCCCTCCACAACGGGTGACATGGGGAGGCTCGCTCACAGCTGGAGCAGGGATGCTGGATTAATGCTGGCAGTTTCCCATTGATGACTGCTCAAGCTGGACCATTTTAGACAATTCCTCTGCATCTGAGCTTAAATCACTTTAATTATGAGCGGTAGGGTGAATTCTCATGCAAGTAACACATACATATAGCTTTGGTAGTAGTAGAGACCACTAACTGCCTAGAAATTGGCCCTGCAGTCGTCCCAGAGCAGTCTTGTAAGTTCATAGTCTGGGCTTCCCAACTGGAAACAAAACTAATTTCTTAATTTAAAACTAAATCCCTCTGGACTGAAGCTCAAAAGGGTAAATGCGAGCCTCTGCTGTTGCAGAAACTCTCTCTGACACAATGGAATTACCTGGTCCATCTCTTGCTGGTCAGCCTCCCTCAGTGCTAGAATGGCAGCTCCTTGGCTGTCAGAAGGGAGCCCCACCAAGATCCTGGGAGGTTTGCAGCTACCCTTCTGGTTCAGCCTTCACCCCAAACCCATCTTTTTCTGTATCTGGTTTCAGCCATAACTCAAGTCCTTCCATGCTTGGCCCTCAAGAAATACTCACAGTGAGCCTCAGCAGTGCAAACTAAGGCATCATTCAGGCTGTAGTCACTCACATTGTTGTTTACCAGTTTCCTGCCCCATCTGCCTGTGTAGAAATTATACGTATGTACACTAAATCATGCAATAAAGCCAATTTTGTGTCCAGATCCTAGCACCCATTTTGCAGTGTCTGTTCTTTCAGCTCGCTCAAGCAAAGGCTCCTTTCTCTTTCCATGGAATCATAGAATGGTTTGGGTTGGGAAGGACCTGAAAACTCATTTAGTTCAAACCCCCTTCCATGGGCAGGGACACCTTCCACTAGATCATGTTACTCCAAGCCCCATCCAACCTGGCCATGAACACTTTCAGAGATGGGACAGCCACAGCTTCTCTGGGTGACCTGTGCCAGTGTGTCACCATACTCACAGCCAAGAATTTCTTCCCAATATCCAATCTAACCCTGCCCTCTGTCGTTGTGAAATCATTCCTCCTTGTCCTGACACTCTAGATCCTGCCCAAATTCCTTTTCCAGCTCTCTTGGAGCCCTTGTAGGCACTGGAAGATGCTCTAAGTTCTCCCCAGAGCCTTCTCTTCTCCAGGCTGACCAGCCTCAGCTCTCTCAGCCCGTCTCCATAGCAGGGGTGGACCAGCCCTCAGAGCATTTTATGGCCTCTTCTAGACTTGCTCCAGCATGTCCATCCTTTCCTTAACCGACCTGTGCACTACTTGCTTTAAAACTAGCCAGGTGAAGCAGACAAGAGCTGAATCAGCAGCACCAAAGCAGAGCAGGGGCAGATGGTGCTGATCAGGATGGCAGTATGACTAGTCAGATGCTGGTCACAGACCTACAGGTGTGATGACAGTGGGTCAGTGGTACCAAGTTGCTAAGCCAGGTGTCAAAGGGTGTGGGGGGAAGAAGGGGCTGACCCTGAAATGCACTGCTCCAACCTGAATGGATATCAAATCTGGCAGTTGAAGCTGCATGAAACACAAGCCCACAACATTGAGGGATTGTTTTAAATTTGTATTAAATAATAGCAG